CGGTCGGCGCTGCCAATTCCCGAAGACGCGATTATATGGAACACGGTGACCCAACATCATCGTCGGATTGTTCCGTGCGGGGTAATAATTTCGCGCGGTTATCGACAGCCCCTAAATAGCCTGCCGATGGAATGGCAAGAAATCTCATTCCAGATTTAATTAATCGCGTTCCATCGGACGTTAAGACAAAATTACCATTTTGAAACACCGTCTCTATTGCGACCGATTCTTGATGTAGAGTAGCACAAATAATACAATAAAAAAACGCGTTGAACGTTGTACTTTATAAATTCGATCGCACTCATCCTGTATACAACAATCGGCTGTAAAAAGAAACGTTTATTCGAATATACATAGCACTCTTAATTGTAATAAAATCGATGATAATCTAGTAGCCCCGTTCTATAATTGACACCTGCTTTCGCCGTACTGTAAATGCCTCCGACGGCCACGAATTTTCAGCTGGAGTTTCGGGGTCAGCTGGCCTCGGCCCCGAGGCGCAGCCGGAGGAATAAAATCTCGATTCCTGGACAGCCCGGCGTTGATTGGAAATCGACGGACGATGAAATTGGAAGTCGAAAGCTGCTCGGTGAATATCCAGCGAACGCGAATAACCGCGCCTGATACGAGCGGTTTGGGATGTGAATGACGCTATTAGTTAGAACGATCAAGGGCCTGCTACCGTTCGGCATTCAGCGTCGGCACGGTAAACCGATTCCAGGTGCTAATAAACAATTGATTTAGAAGGCTCGATAGTCGTTGAATTTCACGGCCGAGAGAAATCGATGAAAGTTTTATTTGCCAGCAATTTTCGGAGACAGGATCGAGTATACATTGTTTATCCGAACAATCGATTATTCGAGCGATCGTTTATCCACTCGCTAGTTATTCCGGAAAATGTTATCGTAGATATGTGTCGGTCAATATCAAACTAGACCTGCCGATATATCATTGTCGTTCTAATTTACGCAGGTATACGAATATGTCGAAATGCAACTGTATCGTTTTACCAATCGAGGCAAAATGTGTAATACAAGTCGATTAAATTGCAGTGAAACGATCATTCGTATTGCAATGTCTTGTGGGATTAGAAAATTATCAGTTTGCGACGTTGAATGACGGAAATGAGAAATTCCGAATTGTAGCGTGGGTTTAAGTTTATTGGAGCGTACGTGAACCAATCCTGGTATTCGAAATTATAGAAATGACAGAAATGGCAAAATCAACGCGCGCGACCCAATTGATAAACAGATGACTAAAAGTATTAAAGAGATTTATAATGTGACTTGTTCAATATCTGATTAATACATCATTTTCTGAGATATTAAACGTCATTTGAAATGTAAAAAAAGCAGGGCGATTTAGTATATGTAGGTTATGAATGATGTTATTGTTGCAAAAAGTGTTGTTTTTGAGATATTGGGATGTAAAGTTTTCAAATAAACAACCTGAATATTTACCTGAGCTGTGTTGATCGTGCATGCAGTATGTTAATTAGTCGATCGCAATAAACTTCGTTTTACGTGAGACCGTGGCAACGCAACTAAAAAATGGTAATCGTATGAAATAGAGATAAACAAGTTATTTTCCTAGCAGCACGGCGTCGCGCGCTCATTTTCCGGTTCAATTGTGTAACTGTTTCTGTATAGCACACGTTTCGTACTACTTCGAGGTTTTTTTTCGATCGTATTTATCGATCCCCGTCTGGTTTGATCGTAATGGAGTCAAGAGCTTCCTTCGTGCCGTTTAATTATTTCTTCCGACGAAGCGGAAACACGTCTCCACTGTAGCGAGTAAATTCCTCTCGTAATGCAATACCATTGGCGACTTTCGACGAATACCGACATAATTGAAGATCGCTTGAATTGGCAACTCGAGTGCGAATTGTCCGCAAGACAAATGGATCTGTGAAAACGAGATCGGAATCGGCAAATAGATCTGTGATCGTTGAGCGGTGTTGGAAAGTTAGCGGTCATTTTCACGAGCACGAAATATATTCTCTAATTGTTAAATGCCAAACTATTGAGAGTTTAATCGCGGTTTTAATTTCGGGGGAATATTGCCTATTAGATCGTTTTTTCAATATAACGAAATACTTCAACTTGCGGAACACGAGTTTCTAACAATTAAAATTAAAATTGTATGTCTAAAAATTACAATTAAAATTAAAATTAAAATTGAATTATTAGAAATTTCTAAACATTTTTTATCGAAATTGTTTACTTCAAATCTTATCTTTGGTTTCATACTTTAAACATTTGTCGTTCTAATTTTATGCTTTCATGCTAAATACTGAACGATTCGATATGAAAAATCTGGTTTGAAAAATAATGTACGTTATTTGTCTCGATTATTTATAACGGATTGTTTAGTTCAAACTGAGATAAAGTTTTGCTACATCCTCTAATCGACGTTTAGTACGCATGGAATAAATTTACGATTATACGATCAAATGCTACGATGATCTGAATTTTGCAAATTATTCTGCTCACGCGTGCATCGGTTTACCGATGAGAAGAATGGTGCGAATAATGGAAACTATAACGAGGTGGATGTATTCATTTTCGCTAACACGATCGTTTGTCGGATGCTTGTGGTCAGCGTACATTCGCGGTTCTAAATGTGACAAAGAAAGCAAAAGTACAAAATTCTTGACTCTAACCACAGTTACAATTTAACAAATCATTCGTCAGGATGATCAAACAATGATCTCTTTTCGAATAAAAGATTTCCGATCATTTTCAGTAGAACACAAATTGTTGACAGCACGATCATCGTTGTAAACATTTGTTCAGACTATGAAAGACGTGAGATTAAATCAGATTTCAAATCTGTTATATATTCCCAGTAATAGCAAAATCAGAAAAAATATTTTAATCATTGTTCGGTAGACAAGTTCTCTTCTATCGTCTAAAAAAGGTCAAGGCGTTTAATCCGGTTTTAAGAAATCCGGTTTTAATACCGTTTGAAAAGGTGTTGACTCAGTTTTGTCACTGTATATCGCCAGGAGAAGATCAGAGTCGGCGTGAAATAATCCTGAATGAGGGGTCCTCGAGGAGACGTTTCGAAACATTATTCAAGCTTGCGTGTATTCGTTTCCAATTTACTTTGACCTGGAACGCGTATCAGGGTCGCTGGTTCGCTCCAGTAAAAATCATCGCGCGAAGTCGCAAATTGCATCGTACGACTAGAAACGATGTGTGTCCGATGCTGGTCGCTGAATGGTCGTCTACCCGCGGCCAAAGATTTTAATTTCCTGCGAATTGCCAGGTCAAAGGTAGCCCGCATTTAATCCGCGAAAGCGAGTAGGTCGCGACCGAGCCCCTGATACCGACTTTAACGAGGTCGTGTTTCTCTCTATTAACCGAATATAACTTGCAGGCATCGGTAAGGTAATACGGCAGTGCTCGCTGAAATTTTCAAAATCTGTTACGCATAAATTAGAACGACACGTTCCACCTCTGTTGTCACCACTTACCATGTCGAGTTTAGGTAGTCGTATTTCCGTAGAGGAGAGAAAAGAATAAAAGCCCGAAAGAAGTTTTGACAAAAATCAATTCATAATCGTCGAGAAGAACGTCCTAAATTAGATTTGTCCGTTAAGCGAGCATTACCGTATTCTTTTCTCCGAGCACCGTAACATTTTCGTAATGACTTTGGCCGCGACTTCCAGGAACAGTGTGTGCGCGCACGAGAGCGTTCTCTCTTCCCCTCTTCCTCTAGTTCCTTCCTTTTTTTTATGCGGTATCGACGACGAGGAATTGGGTCAGTCTAGATTAAAGATGTCCGTTTTATTACGACAGACACGGCTCCGCCCGGTGCAAACGCAGCCCGTCCATCGCACAGATCTTCCCTCGCACCCTCTGCCGGCTCACCATTGTTCCTTCATCCCGTGAGCTTCGATAGCACTGCGCTTTTCGTTTCCCCTTTCATCGCCCAGGCCGCTTTTCTTCGTCACCGATTCTGTTTTCCGTGGCGACAACACAGCTAACTTTCGGCTCCATTTTCTTCCTTTTTTTGCTCACTTTTTCCCACGCCGGATAAAGTTCGCCATTCTTTTGTGATTAATCACCGATCCGTGACACCTGTCGTGTCGACCTAACGGGTACCGTTCACTTGGAAGTCCACGAAGAATGCACTAAACCGACGAAACTATTGCGCGACGCACAGTGGTTGGTTCCCATACAAAAAGCGGAAAAAAAATGCACAACTAAAATTAGATATTTAAGCCTTGCTTTCTCATTTTATATTACTAGTTTTTCGTTGGGTTAGAATAATGAGAACAAAATGCAGTATTTTAATTGTTTATAAACAGATTTTTAAAAAATATAATTTCTGTTTTCAATTCAATTCAATTGAATTGAATTCAATTCAATTCGATTGAACATCCTCTCTTGACCGTTCTTTACCTCATACTCGACATAAACGGGTCAGATACGAGCAAAAGCCTGCATACGATAAAAAGAAAATAATTTAGAATTATTCAGTTGAAATGTTGATAGTTTACTCAACCTATTCGAAACATCTCGGATAATATGTAAATAAGTGAGCAGTTTATTTTCTAAGAAGGTTATATTCTTAAGTTTCTTAAGCATTATCGACAACTTTCCCCTATGACGTTATTCTGGCGACATCGCTGCGGCATCATTCTGTCGGCGCGACGCGACGGGCTACAACTTGTTAAGAGTTCCTTAACAATTTCAACGCTATGCGAAAGATAATTAGATCATTTCCATTTTCCGATTCTGCGCACAGCTTTCGATAATAAAATAAATAAAAAAGAAGGTTGCGTTCTCCGCGCTGCGCCGTATTATCCAATTTGAATGCTTAATTTCTAGATCACTCCGGAGTTAACGAACTCGCAGTATATTTTCGAGATGTTTTGACGTTGACATCGTAGATTACTTTATGCAAATCGCGCTCCTTTCGGATCTGCGAATGCCAAGAAGCTGCGCAGTGGTGAAATGTTAAAAACGGGTGCACACATCTACGTCACTCACCTCTTCCCAAACGAGTTGTTTGCTCACACCCGGACGTAGATTCATAATTTTCAGTTCAGCCGCTTTCAAAACTCCGTCCTGAGTGAACTCCACGTTAGGCTTTGCTGGATCATGCTCCACCGACACGTTCTTCAAGTACCTGAAGAAGAAGACACTCTTGATTGCCGTATACAAACTGCGTTCCTCGCCCAGGCTCGTGCCAAATTCGATTCGAAAGTCGTTCATTGAGACAGATTTATTTTCAAAAGTACTTCGATAGAAAGGTTTAGGACAGGGCTCGAATGAAACTGTTAACATTTTTAATTGGTTCTGTTGCAAAACAATTACTTGCGACTTTTCTGTTCTAAGAACGCAATTATAAATCCACTAATGATCGTTCAATTATAGATCACCTTTGATCAAACTATTAGATTATTCGAAAAGTAATTTTGTTCTTCGCGTAAAATTGATCAACCCTTCGCACTCGAGTGTTGACTCTCTCGGGACATTAAAAATTGTTGTACCAAAGTTCACGTTTCGAAATTATAAAAGCAAAAATATTTCGTATGCATAAAATGCACCGAATCGTATAAGATAACTTCGAATGCGAACGATTAAATACTTTTTCCAATAAAGAACACGATTTTTTTAAAACACTGGATTTCAAAATTACCAAAAAGATAGCAAAAGGTTATGAAACAAGCATTCATGGAACGATATTAAAATATCGTCATCGTTTTTCCGTTTTCCCTTTCCGTTTCCCTAATATTTGCATGTGAAACGTATTCTGATAACAGACAGTTCGGGCAACAGATATTTGGGTAGTCAAATTTCTACGTTACGTTGAACACGATTCGATCGTACAATTTATATTATTTAGATTAATGCAATATTTAAATTAAATGTTTAAAGGTTATCTATTTTCACAAAGAAAAGCAATTATTAAACGAACACGTACGAAGTTATAGGCAATTCAACGGGTCTGTATAAAGTAATTACTTGAAAAACAGGTCTCCGGTATTCCATCGAGACTCTCCGTAACTCCCCTCGCATGCAATCTGCGTGTTTAGACTTAGATTCCTGTTGTTGTCGTCGTTCAGGAAATCCTCCACTCCGTACGCGTAAACCTTAACTGCGGTTGTTATCTCGCTGACCAGCCTTTCCGTGCTCGTGTCGAAATGTACACCTGGAATCAGAATTGACGCATCCGAAACAGTTGTTTTGGTCCGCGTCGTAATCGGCGTGCCGCGCGATGCCGTTTTCGAGAAAATCGTAAATGTTTAAAATAGCCTTTTCTTTATGACAGAAATGCGCAGACGGTGTCCAACGAACTGGGATATTTGTCCGAGGTTTACCGACTCGGACTCGAATACAAATATTTCAACTAAGAAACGAACCGCTCACTTGCCAAATCGGTTAACTCCATAAAACATAAAGTGCAGAAATGCGACGAAATGATATACATTGTTTTCCAAAATTCCCTTTAAAATAAAAATTGACATAAACATCGTATAATGCATAAATACAGACGTTGATTTCATATAAATACATGCAGAATTAATAAGATAGAATAGTCTCGGTGTAATTGTTGTTAACTGAAATAGATTATTTATTATTCGGCGATCGAGCGCGGATGAAACATGATCTCACAATGACAAGTTCACAGAAACAGTTGCGAAAATCGATGGAAGCCTGTACGCAAACGTAACTGGTTTTTGGATACTGCTGTTCCGGCTTCGAATAGCAGAAAAAAGGGAAAGTTTTTTTTCAATACCACCGCGCGATCTCTTGGGATTCGAATGTTTTTTTCCCACGATTTCTCGTCCAGTTTCCACACGATCCAGATTGCTGCGGAATACATATTTCTTTTTTGTTGAACTGTGAAACGTTTCATCGATACAAGGGAGAAGGGAAACCTTTCTTGATACGTACTTCGACGAAAAAAACTCAGGTAATCTTCTTACGTTCTGTTGTACGTGCACTGTTTACTATGTTACTCGATATTTTTAAAGTAAACAGAAATTGGAATGTTTGCGATAGACGGTTTACATTGTTCGATGTTATTTATTTTATAAATGATACTGGATTTCGGAGAGGGTTTGTTATTCGATAATATTTTCTCTGCGTGAAAACTGACTTGTTTTCTGTGTTCATATGTCATCGAATGTTTCTTTAAACTGCGAATTTGTTGTCTAAAATTGTTCAGACATTCGTTGACGATTCTTGCGAAAGGATCTTTAAGATCGTTGTTATATGCATACAATAAATATTAAAATTTCTGAACAACTTTACATTGGATATGATTTTTATTAGAAAAGTTTCAGAAAACAAAATGGAAGAACTTGACTCGCAAGAATTTGATTTGGAAGAAGGTGAATTTGATTTGGAAGAATGCGAATTTGATTTGCAAGAAGGTGAATTTGATTTGCAAAAAGGTGGATTTCATATGCCGAAGGGTGAATTTGGAGTGCAAGACTTATATCATATTTAAATTTACTGCGAACAAATTCGGAATATCGATTGCATTAACTTCGACCAGTGACAATGTAAAATAACGTTCGCGGTATCAATTAATTCAACGACGTATTTTGATTATTTCATTTCAAAGATAGCGTGGAAGAAGAAGAGAATTTTTCTGCAATTGGTGTTTCTCAAACGAACGATCGACTGCCTCGGCTGTCTAGCCGTTGAAAAGGATATTCAGAAGCTTGGAGAGAATCACGGAAATCGGAAATTGATGTCTTCCTCGAGATTCTGCCGCGACTGCCCCCCAAGAACGAATAAATTTATCGAATTCTGTCGGACCGGAATACGTCGAATATTGCGTGCCCTGCCGAATCTACTCCATTCTGGAACGCGGATCATATAAGCGTATCGCCGCTGAAAAATTGCTCGAGTGATTTCCTGGCGGCTACGAATACCCTATGAAAATCCTTCACGATTCATTTATCGTTTGTCGAAAATTTTTCATAATCTCTACGCAGAGGTTGATTCTTTTATTCCCGCTGACTTTGAGAGACTCGGTATATCTCGGTAGCCATACACGATACGTATTTGAAAATGTCATGTTTCGACAAATTGCGAGACCTTTGATCGTTCTGCTTGCTCGAGAATTTGGTAACGCTCGTCTTTAGGATTGTTCGCGCGGAAAACCACCCTTACGAATTCGCTTAATAAAATGACACGGTCAAGCTTTCTACGGCGACCTTGCAGAACAAGTTCCGCCGTCACGGTGGAACAGGTTTCGAGCACGTAATCCTGCAGAAATGAAAACGAGCAGCGTCGCTCACCGAGCATCCCGACTGGAAACTGGCTGGGCGGCGTCTGCGGGTTCTCGATGACGCTTTGCGTGACCACCCACACGTAATTCTCGCCAGTCATCTTGTAGTCCTTAGCGGCCTTCAAAATGCGGTTCGCCTCTTCTCTGGTCGAATAGAGAAGCATCACCCTGGACTCGCTTTTGGACAGCTCGGCAAGGTCAGCCTCGTCTGTGACCAGAGTCGAGCTGAGTATAGTGAACTTGAAAGTATCCTGCATGTCCGAGATTCTCTCGCGGATCGCCTGCACGAAATCGTCGTGGCCTGCTATCTGCGAAGTCACTAAGCTGAACTGGTGCCATTTGTATCTCTCGAGGATACTTAGCATCGCGGCCGTCTGGTGCTCCAACGACGGCGCCAACTGTAGTTGCAGGTTGCTCTGCGATGCTTTCTGAAATAATCCATGATATGATCGCTTTTGTTATTTTCTCTGTGCGCTGGGTTCGAGGTGTTTCTATATAGGATCGTCAATTGGGAATCGGTATTCGAAATGGTGTTTTCATTTGATAAACGAGTGTCGACTATTGAAAAGCTGAATAGAGTGATACGGTGGTGGTGTCGGTAATCGCGAGGTGACCAATTGCTGTGTCTTTGGCTTGTTTTCGATCACAATTAATTTTATATTTATCGAATAAAACGTTACATTTTTCGCTCCATTATTTTGTTTACATTTTAATTAAAAAATTGAATATGTCCGATTCGATGAATATAATGTTAATTATGACCGAAAACGAAGCAAAGTCCCAGCAATTGACCATTCCACGATAACCGACTCAACAAAAAACGAAGTTTTGTTAATGGAATTTTCGATTAACGGACGTTCCGATAATCGATCGTTCGATTAAACAGAGGGTCCGATAATCGAGGCTCCACTGTAATAACTTTATCGACGAACGTATCGGAGTTCACCATTTCAGGCTCGTCGAATAGTAAGAACAAAAAAATACGACCGAGGATTTACGATTGCACGGTGCGATTTACGATCTCCTACGGCTCTCTAAAAAACGAGTGAAACGGAAAGGTTGGGAGCAGCCAGAGGCATTCAACTCACAAATTTAAATTGAAATTCTGTGGAACTGGGAATAGTCTGTTTCAGATAAGTAGGAACATCGCGGAGGATTAGATGAGCACTCTTCGTGGATTTTGTTGATAATACGGAATTGATTGCTTTTGTGAAGCGAATAAGAAACTAAAAATGAAGCTCTTCCCGGATAAGTGCAAAATTGTACAAGAAAGCATGTTAAATATATTATACAGGCTGTTCATTGGAAAACTTTAGCATAATAAATAAATATATCTTCCTTTGCATAAATATATGCATTTGTATCGCGTCGCACATTAAAACAAGTGCTTGCGGCAAAAAGAACCGAAGAAAAGACTTACCCGTTCTAATCCCGAGTTATCGGCATTCCAGGCAATCACCGGAATTCCAAGATAGCCAGCCAGCTGTAGAAAGTATTGAGCACTAGCCGTACTCCGGCCATATTGTTCGTAGTTCACCATGTACAAGATAGTCGACACATTCATCGGCAGGAATTGCGTGCATAGCGAGTGGAGAATCGCTGCAACACAAAAATGTGGGTCCATTATTATTGCTAGCCTTTTCACGATTCCTCGCTATTCGATGACAAAATTCCAATAAGTTTTTTCGAAGCTATTTTCAGTGCAGAGGATCCTCGGATAACGCGATGTATTGGATTGAAATAAACGCGGTGAGCAAAACGTTACTAGCAAACGCGGAATGTACGTATCGTTTCTCGTCAGTTGCGAGCTAATGGGGAGGAATTAAGTAGGGTCGAGCAATTTTGGTAAACGAATTCGCGTTAATTGTCCGTATCGTCGTGTGTGTACGGTGTTATCTATTAGCGCAATATATTGCGGTTCTCGGCAGATAGCAACACCAAATGGTTTCTATCAGGCGTTTAACGGCTGGCCGGCTTTTACCGGTGGCTACAATAAACATTACGGTCGAAAAAGGAGTAAACGAGCTCGTATGGGAGGCAAGCCGGGCCTGGCAGGCCACGCTGTCTCGGTTGATCAGCGGCAATCAATTTTACAGGAAAATGAAACCGTGACTCGACAGATTTGACACCCTCCCGACGCAAAGCGATCAACCAAGAAAAATGAAGATGGAAGAACAAGTGGAAGCCGGCTTATTCGTTACGCGTCGAAGCTGCAATTTCGCGCGGTACGTGACGCTGAGAAATTCTTCGCGATTCCAGAAATACTCTAACTCGCAAATAATAGAAACTGCGAGTGCAACTCTCCTTAGAAATCTTGCCCGCGGCTACGGTCCGCAGACTCATGCTGTAAGTTAATATCCTTCGCTCTCTCATTTGTCTCTGTAACATTAGACGGTTTCCTAACGGTAATCTTACACTTGTAATCATTTTATCTCTTTCCTTGTGCTCCATAGTCGTCTAGGAATCCGTTTTTTGTGACCAAAATTATTTTAGCGCTCTGTTTCCAAGTTTAAGGTTACAAAGGGTTTCTCGGTAGAGGCGCTATATTTAATTGTTACAATTTGTAACAACAGCTCCAACACCTCGTGACAATCGAACCTATTTCTTATTCAAAAATGATCAATCTCAGAATAATGAAGCGGATGTGAAAACATTAAGTCGCGAGTCACGATTGTTGTTCCAAGCGCGACCGCGTTTTGGCCTGTTCCACAACGCAATTCTTAGCTGCCAATGCCCGGCTGACCCCATTTTACCATGTCCTTGTTCCCTTCCTCGCTATCTCCAATGCATTAATCACTCTGGTTGACTTCATCCCCCTCCTATTTTTTGGTATCTTCATTCACTCGCATGTTGGGGTCGTATAAAATCTCGTTAAATAATGCGTTATTTTACACAAAGCTAAGTTAGAAATTCTTTCAGAAATTTCTCGTTACCGTTGTAGTATTTTTGTTTACTGCTACATGCGAATTTTATTAACCAGCTAGCTGTTGCAATCTTTTTGAAAAGTATGTTAATTATTGTAATTAGTAGACTGCGGATATTATGCATTTATGGCAGAAATGAGCAGATACGATTTCAAACTGCGCGAAAATGAAAAGGTACTAAATATTTTGTTAAATTAATTTGAATTTATTGAAATCGTTAAAGATAGAAAAACCCATGCATAGCATTCGCAATTCGGTGAATGTTCCATATTATATAAAGCAAGGTTACTTCATCGAATGATTAGAAATATGTAGTTATCGCGCCTCTGAATATGTTTACAAGGTATATACATGGTAACCATTTTAGTAACTAATTCTAGTCACTTTATCCTAATAGATTGCATTGGTCTCGCCGCTGTACATATTTGAGTCTGATAATTCGATATAATTTAATTTGTCAGAGTAGTTGTTACTTTGTGACAGAAATTGATCGCATGCCCGGTATTTCTGACCGTCCGCGTACTACATTCCTGCGGCGCGTTTATGGTCAAGAAATTCCCTTCGCTGTGCTATAGCTTGGACCTTGCATTTCGCGTCTCTTAATCGAGACAAGAAAATATGAAAAAGATTTTTAAAGAACAGACTTTAGTATAAATTATGAAAATGTTAAATTTAAACTTAGTAGCGATAGAAATTCAAAATTTCTATACAGAAATATTTGTCATGTCTTTTAAGAAAATGTGTTGCATTCGATCGAATTTTCAAGTCGTCCGACGTCACCGCCTTGGCATATGCAATGCGAGAAGCTCGACGAATGGCTAAACGCAGACCGTCGGATTACTCATCGTTGCCGATTTGTATTCACCGAGTGTGAATAGCGACGTTTTAATAACTGGTTTTTGTGCGAAGTCGGTGTTTCATTCAGCAGCTGCCGAGGACCCGTATTAATTACGCAATGATATTGAATGTGTGGATAGACTGCCTCGTTGATCCGATATAATCCAGCACGTATAAATCTCGCGTCCGTCGTCACCAACGCTGGCAAAGGGCTTATAATTCGATTACCAAAACCAGCAGAAAAGCGTTTCATAAAATGTTACGCAAATCATTTGCCCGGTTACGAGTTTAACGTAATGTCGATTAAATCCACGCGTAATTCGGTGTTCGCGGCTTTGTGTGGTAATGAGAAGTTACGGATCATGGAAGAAGCGCGCGTCCATCGTTGGATCGATTGTTTCTCGTGGTCTCCGTTGGCCAGAAAACGATTAAAACCAAGCATCGTTTAAGTAAGCGTTCGTATAAATGATTATTTAAATAACAGATTATTTATTATTTGGAAGTTTAAATAAATGACCCTGAATTCAGTCTCGCAATCCGGAAATGGTGGGTTCCTCGGATCATTTGAAGCAACTTCTAACGTTAACGAGTTATTAACGAAAAACGGTGATCAATAAGAATCGAGTACGACTGACGCGAGGCGGCCCAGCCAATCAGCGCACGAAGCCCAGTTCCGCTCATTGGTCACTGTTTTTCGTTAATAACTCGTTAACGATGCCTCGGAGAACATTTTTGTAAAGGAAAAAGTTGCTTCAAATCACCCGAGGAATCCGCCACTTTCGGATTGCGAGACTGTATTCAGGGTCATTTATCTACTATAATTATACATATGTCTCTTGAGAAGCGTACGATAGTCAATAATAATTTTGTATCAAGTATTCTTCCGTATTAAACTATGGAATAAAGATTGAAGGAATAATCGATAACTACTAAAGTAAGCGAGTAAGCGAAAACGGGCGCAGTTATCATTTCAGCCAGATGGACGCTAGAATTCATTTCAGTCTCGTCGCCGGACTATCACGAACTGTCTGCGTGGAGAATATATGAGCCTCGAGTAAATAGCAGAGGGGTAGCTTGGTCACAAAACGTAACTGAAACGGATATTAAACTCTCGAGCAATTAACAGGGGCGAAGTGGACACACCTAACTGGCAGGTAGTCAATTATAACTTGAAAGTGCAACGGACGTTTCCAAGGTTCGTTTGAAGGACTAGCTATCATTGCCACCGTATCGTTGTTGAAATTCTTCGATTGCTGAATTCATGTAGAAAAGAGGATCAAGCAATAATGTTCCAAAGGACACTTTTAACGGATTAAATATATTAAAAAAAGTTGACATTACGAATTTTGACCTTTACCACGGAATTAAAAATGGATACCATTGTTTGTGAAAATGCAACATTGAACAGCAAATATTTTCTGAAGGATACAATAATTTTGTATATTTCTGTTCAATATTTCGTATGCATGTTTCGTCAGGTCGCATTAAACAAATTTACGTCGTTCGAGACGGTATACAGCGGATCTCTAAGAATATATTATTTATTATTCCGTTTTGAAATTTTCTGAATTTATTATACCTAACGGAGCCATAATATTCTGAAGATCTGGGCTAAAAAATTTACGAATATAAACGTAAGAATAGCATGGTTGGGGTGACGTTTAGGATGGCAATTTATAGAACTTTATATCTAAACTGGATAAAGTGTTTAATGTCATGATGGATGACATGACAGATTAAGGCCAGCTTGATATTTTTGGCGAAGCTAGCAATTTGAGCATAGTACGTTTATTTTCGTCGATTTGGGTACAATATTGAATTATCAATTATGATCCGTGCGCTTCATCTTGTTATTCGTGTTAGTTCGACGCAATTCTGCAGTAATAATTAGATTGTTTACTATTGACTTGTGAAACTCAGTCACTTGGCGAATAAACAACTGCATCGTTGTGCAGAACGTCAAATATTGGTTTACAATATGCATGATTAAGTGTATAGTCGGTGTACAAAGTAATCGTACATCTTTCGAAACGAAATAACATTTTTATATTTGGGCCAAGCGATCTAAATTAGTTGTACTTTTAGCTGTGGATTGGCTGTACTCGTCTATTAGGTAATGGCTAAAAAATTGCTTTCAAAAGTAATTAATACAAGACATCGTTTCTAGTTACTTTATAAACTCGTTCAGAACACAATGGTTCAATGTGTAGAATAATTTGCACTCATATTATAAGCAGACATATTTTTATAAAGCTCGTTTAAATTATTTTGTTTATTACTATCGCTACGATTCGATATATGTATAGAACAATTTCCTTTATCGTTTTGATTTATTGGCAACTGATTAGAATAATCGACTGCCGAAATTGGTCCAGTGATAAGGACTGCATTAGATATTTGGTGGCCTATGCATAATCTGGATTATATGCAGATAATTAATCATGGTGGCAAGTTAGTTATCGGTTCAAGGTCATTGGAGCATAAATTCCATAACTACGTTTACTTGTGCATTGCTCCACCTCTCAGCACGTTAGCTTAAAATTACGTTTGTAATCGAAGGATTTTGGGTATTTATCTATTTATTTTATGTACATATACGGGATGAGTCTATTAGGAAACGTCGTGTAAAATGACTCGTTATTTAACGGGTTGCCAAATGTTATATACGATGTAGTTAATTCAAATGGGAATGTTTAACCGCCGGACTGCGCTTACCGGGTCATTTTAACTCGGAGTATTTAAATCGTTAAATAATTATTTATTTTTCAGCAATTAAATTGCTGTTGCGCTAGGAACGACGGATAAACTAGGTTTATAAGAGGTATCTTCAAAAATATGTTTTCAAGCTAGGTGTGAAATTTTTGGCATGCGGAGTATGCACTTGCGAAAGCTGCGGTAACGATCCAGAGACCATAGACGCGTACATAGGTGACTCTCTTATGTCACAAGAACCGATATCGAAAATTCCGATGTTCTGGAACGTTAGGTTGGCTGCAGTCGCCTAACGAAATTTCTAGTAGTAGCAAGTATCGAGACGTGAAATACGATGTAGATGACATACGGTGTAAGTAATAGTTTCCGTTTTGACTTTCAATGGACTTAACATATGCAAATGTCTCTTCAAAGCACTTTTATAATATATCATATTATAATATGAAAAATGCGGAGGTTGAATTTCAAACTTCTCGTCCGTGCTGAATAATAGATATCACTAAATCAGAATCGTCAAACTTAAGTTCAAAGGTTGTTTTCAGCCATTCAACGTAGACATCGGCTGATGCGAAGGAGTATCAAATATTCTCGTGAGTTAAAACCGATCCGTGCCGCATAGGTAATGTGCGATCTTAGCATTTATGGAATATTCGACGGCGGTTAGCCAAAATTGGCGCGGCGGACTACCCAACCGAACTCACCAACCGGAAATCAAATGCAAAGGATGCCAACGGAATGCACGCGGTCATTGTAAACAAGTCGTTTCCATTGAAAATAACTGGCGATGATCATTTCCGGCGCAGCGTTCCGAAACGAGGAAACCGATGGTCCAGGACGAAAATAAAGCGAACTCGCAGGATAAACAGAAATTGAAGGAGAATATTCGTCACCCGTTACGGCTCCTGTTTCAAAGTTACCTTCGCCCATCCTAAGCCGACGCATGGAGAGATATCTAGCAAGGTCATCGCCGTCTCTTCTCTTGCCAGCGAACTCTAAGCCGCACATATTGACCCGCCATGACACTTTTGGTGGAACGTGCCCTCAGGACGTTAATTTCAACGCCCCTGGGAAAGGAGACAATGTATCCTTCTTGGAACTGGTCGGAGGAGCGTGCGTAGTTGATCCCGGGCGCGGAGCAAACGTGACAATATTCTTTTGTTTTCGGATGACTGGCCGGATCTGGTGCAATTTTGCACGGTTTCACGTCGACACGCGAACAATTTACGATTTTCGCTTCCAGCTGCTTCGACTTTCGTCGAACAATTATCACAGCTGATATTTCCTTGAAATATCGTAGAACAGCCAGTGTTGGGCATTATTCGAATTATTTCGAATAAATGTTCGTCTAGGATAATTATGCGAATGAATTCTTTTTAGTAGAATATTTTAATCGCATAATGATTATTCATTATTCATGACTTATCTATTTATTCGAATAATTCTTTATTAATAAGAAATTATTATTGGAACGATAATGCGAGTAATTGTTGACTATCTCTGTTTTTACCTAATTTTATAAGAATATATACATATATTTATAATATATATATATTGATATACAGATTTAAGAAAAACAGTAAATTCTCTCCGATTGTTCTTTAGCTTGTAAAAAGTTTAGCTCGTTTTTGTAGTTGTTGAAAATCAGCGACTATAAAAACGGGCCGCGAGGCTCGAATAATCGTGCCTCCTCTACCCAAATTGTCCATTTCTGTTTACACGTTGAGAGAGATAATTGGAGAGAATTTACTTGTGTACACCTGTGTTTGGGTGGTGGTAAGTACCTGTTGGGCTCGGCGTAAGCTTCAGCATGGTCAGTCTGACTTGATCCGACGTGAAAATGTATTTGTCCAGAAAGGTGAATTTTGTGTATTCTTTTCCCTTGGTGCGGCCCTTGTTCAAGTTGCTGATCACATCCTTCAGCTTTTTCTTGTATTCCCGCACGACGAAATTCGAGTGCGGTACTACGAGCCCGATGTTTATAGTTTGATTGGGGATGCCGTGACTTCGGGACGGTTCATGAGCCGCAGCATCGCCGATCGCCGACCGCCGCTCGCAACTGGTGGAGACCACGAGCGTGCCAACCACCAAAAACAGCTCGACTCGCATCTTTCCTCCTCTTCGACGTCCCTCAGTTTCGTAACATTGCTCTCAACCGCGACAACCTCGGTTCATTCTCGCGAGAAGATAAAAAGATCGTTTCCACGGTGTGCTCCCGGGCTTGAAAGGTAACCAGGCGCTGTCGGACATCCGGAGAAGCATTCTCGACGAGTTAGTTCCTTCCATCGGCGAAAGAATCTTGGTAGATAAGTCGAAAAGTTCTCCCAGGCTCTTCGTTTCGCATCGATGAAACGAACTTTTAATTAAAATGATCGACAACAGTGGCAGCATAGTTTTCGCCGTCCTGGGAGTTCGCCGATGCTTCCAACGTCTTAGACATTTTGGATGTCGATGTAGACTTCTGGGTAGAACTGTTCGGTCGATCGTCGCGTATTCCATCCACCGAGGATTTTCATTCTCGAAATTCTATTGCAATCGCGATCCCCGAAACTGATGGATTCGATTGAAATTCTCTACGCGCTGTCTTCTCAACTCGGCTTGATTTCGTTGAGACAGCTGCTAGAGATATTTGTTGGATTTACGTGCGAACGAACTAATTCAGGTAACTAGTTTTAAACAGCTACTTTCTATGTTTCATTGGAGGAAGACAACATTTGATTTCTCAGTTACGTGGCGTTTGTTTATCGAATGGGCACGATCAACGTCCGATGGAAAGCGTCGTGTTCCGGTTGCTGCGCTTGATCACACGAAGCGGTTAATGATTCGGAAGACGCTGCAAAAAGAATTTCATTGTTCACATCCAGATAGAATTATCGAGCTTATTCGGTGTCGTTGGTGAAGCCTCGGATACAAAACGATTCATTTCGAGTACAAAACTTGTATCTGTGGAACGAAGTTGTTCGGAATTAAGATGGCTCCCTTAACGCTTGGACGACGGACATTTTTAACACAACAACGTAGCCGAGTATGTTCAGCGTCGTTTACAGTTTTATCTAGCAATTTCTTTTAACATAGCTTTCGAGGTATTTCTTTTAAATATTTTAGTTTTTCTTTAGACTTCCTTTGGACGCACGAAACAGTCAATTACTAGATATTTAAATAACGATTTTTATGCTGCGAGTCAAAACAGGCTCACGCCTCGCTGTTCGAGTATTAAACCGCGAATCTGTCGTTAGTGATTCGCATAAAGAAAATTCGAATTGATTCTGAGCGAAGTTGAAAATTGTCGCTACCACAAATTGACAGAAATAATAATCGGTACTCTAAAACGTTTCCGTCTAGAATAATTAAGGAGACTGGGTTGCTCGCGTTGCCCAGTAACAACAGAAAATTCGATTTCAAATCGTGGGAAAGTCATTATGAACGGTCGCTCGAAAGTTTCGTTGGTACAATCGACCATAGCCCTCGCGGAACGCGCCGATAAGATTGGCTGGAAGTAATTACGGGGCCCTCAATTAAGCCGACGCCCGATAATTTCGTGCGAGGATCTGGAGCGTCAGAATCACAACGAAGCTAATTATTGAGATTTTCGTCAGGTTAGTTGACAGGACTCGCCGTCCCGTGTAATTCCACATTAATTGGTAATTACGGAAACCTATCAGGCGGGCGCCACTTTAGACAGCTGTTCCCGTTCCTTGCCTTTTTTTTTCTTGCTCCCTTAAAAGCCCCGTTTTCGCTCGTCGCCGTTATCACTTTGCGGTTGCTTGTCTACTTGAAATACATCGACTTTCTATCGGGTGTCCTGTATTTATGAACATCGTGAAATGTTAGTGCCTATCTTCGACGCTTTGCTTGCCAGGGGCCTGTTAAGAGCATTCTCAGCAAAAAGAGCTAGGTTGAGAATCTTTAAGCAAATTCCTAGCTGTAAATTATAGAATTTTTAAGATTGCTAAACAATATTTATTACGTTCGGCTAAAACCTGTAACACCAAATTGAAGATTCTATTAAAAGATTTTCTGATTCGTTACTTTTGAAATTATACGAGTGACAATTTCAAGTGGCCCACTGTACGTGTTTTCCTGTATTTATAAATACGAATAATGCGCGTATCGCATGGTGGTCAATTTTTCAAACTGTAAGACTATTTACACGAATGTTATTATTTCTTAATCACAGGCTTGGTTGCATTATTTTGCTTTCGTAATTCTATCAAATATGTTTATTCAAAATATTAATAGTCTTGAAAACGCATTGAAACTTTTTCTTTTCTGCGATCGTAGAACATCATCAAACTCGTAACTATTTCCTTGATTGGAAAGTACCCTCTTTCAACCTTCATCCCGCAGCTCCTACATTTCCAAGTTCTATGTTCCTCGAGAAATTTGTTACCTATGCCACGGTCTTCCTTTGGAGACTTTTTTAAATTTCGTAATACGAAGAAACGCCCTCTGTATAAGACTGATCCTGGTCTACAAGTAGGAAACTAGCGTTAACAGGATGGGCCACGGTATCAAGTATATAACCGAGTCTGTTTGCTCAGGATTCAGTCAAGTTTCCTGTCTTCATACGTACGGGCGGAATTGCCAATACAGAGACGAGGCTGTAGTTGGCCCAGGAAAGATAGCGACACGGAGTTCGTTGAGAAGCTGGGGATTCTGCTGTGCACTGTCGCCGTAGAAACGCGCGTACGATATGGTCAGTAGAATTAACCATGGATTTCAGTTTCCCAGAGGCGGGTGTTAGCTTTATCTGGGGTTGTTTACGTTAAGCCGAACGAATTGAAGCGACTTAGGGGAAGCTGTTTTAAAACGACGATGCTGTCGCGTTTCCTGTCTTATTACCGGGCATCCTGTTTGATTTTATCAAGGGGAAGCTATCGATATAGGATCTGTCCATACATTTTGAGTATATCGAGAATATTTGGAGATCGATACTTTTCGCAATATTACAAAATATTTTTAAAGACTTGCAAAGAAACCATATAATAAGGAATTTAAAAACTTAAAATATCGCATCGCGCGCATCAGAATTTAGAATAGAAAGCATCCTGTAAGTGGCATTGGATCAAGTCACAGACATTAACAAAGTTGTTATCAATTCTTTCGTTAATTTCTGTTAAAATGTCTCTTTTACCGACTGTGAACGAAACTTTTTATGCGAGACGTAAACAGCATTGCTCGTGAAACAGCTGAAAATTCTAGGCGAAGGAAATCCGGAGCAGCGGTTAAGTTGCAGGATACCGTCCATCTGCGAATTATAGGTTCACCGAGTCTCGTTTGAACGAAGTAGCGACGCGGACTTGCGAATTACCATCGACGTCTAGTTTCTGTTTCGTGCACGTAGGAATTAGTTACGATAAACTACATTAGCGATAAAACCGGTGTTTCTAGACAGCAGCTGCTGGGAACTGAATCTGTTCCACAACAGATGTCGAAGTAGTTCAATGGCTTTGCAAGGTTCCAATTTTCAGGTCAGTTGTGCTGGAACCGGAATCGCGGTTATTTAAATAGAATTAGATTGGAATATTAGATTCCAATTGTTTCGAGAAAGATATATATATATATTGTCGCGCAGTTAACTATTTGTAACATTCGAAATTATGGCATTAAAGATTTGCGAAACCTAAAAGATGCATTATCGTTGGTTATTTAATCGACAAGCAGTTGGTTCTCCGTATGTTCTTTATCATTATTCGGGAAATCAATTTTAGCGTGTAAAATTTTACACAATTTTGTTAATACTTATTTCGTACTTAATACATAGTAATAATTAGAACCGTGATTCTTTAGTTGACGAATTTTGGCAGTGTTTTGATTTCAGAAGTATTTTCCGTTCAGTAAATAAATATTTTACTGGAACTATCGTTATGTCACGATGTACACTACAGTCTTTACCGAATAAGTTCATGGTGTCAAACGGGTCGAATGAGTTTTTGTACGAATCGTTGTTGGGATAGCGAAGACCGGGAATTTCCCTTGGTACATGTGAAAATCAGAATTGACATTTGTGTCAGGACCATGGGACCTCGCACAAAACAAGATCACTCAGGATTCCATACATAGGACAACAGCTGAAACCGGACCACAAGAGAGGACGGAATTCATTCATGAACGTCATCAACAGATTTAGATTCTGTGAAACACGTAAGGCTTGATTAATATGGGGCGAGTAAATATAGACAAACGTTTTAAGCGCTATGCTATCGTAAAAGTAAATTCTTACTTTTCCTTTTTGAAATGTATTTTCAAAATCAAATATCGTTCGAACGATTCCGTCCATCGTCAAAGAAGCAACTTCCGGTCCCAAGATACCTAAAATTATTTCACTGGTATCGCCTGAAATAACGAAGCTTCCTGGTCGTCGGAATCAATTGAATCAGCGCATCGATCACCGGAAATTATTCCGAGCCGAACACAGAACGTCATAAATCACGTTAGACGGGAATTCATCGGAAGAAAATCGATTCACGTCGGCAACAGGCAATTCGTACGTGAAAGTATGGACATTCTGCCCGAAAGTTCGAACCCCTCGCTCCGGTATCTTTCGCGAGTATCGCGGAATTGTGCCGGAACGATCGAAGTGTCGCTCTACGCGAACGGTACCACGTTCCACGGACCATGGATATTTTTGGGGAGATACACGTATGTAGAGGGTATACCGAAAATGTTCGAATCGTATCAAAGGGATAATTCCTCGGGTGATTTGAAGTCATTTTTTTTTCTTAGCGAAAATGCTCTCCGTGCCTTTGTTAAGCCGTTAACTGCTTTTTTTACGAGTATACAACACGGCACATTCGATAACATGGTTTCACTCTAACACGATAGGATAAATTTCGGAAACCCTCGTATATCGCTGCAACCTATGACAATGTTCTGGTCTAACATGATAAGAAAATTGCGAAAACCTTTGCACGACTCTGTACTTCTACAACATTGGATAACAAGATTTTTTTTTAAACATATTTAAGAACTATATTACCTTATAATAATGACGGGAAGGAATAATGGACATCGCGATTGTCGTTCATTTTTCACGTGCCGTCGTGCATGCGAGGACGCGGCAGCCTCGCGTCCCACGTTTTCAAATGAAAATCCCTTCCCCTACGGCCAGGTTAGCCCACGGAACGCAATTTCCCTAGGATAGATCAGATTGGATCTATCCGCGTCTGGGCAAAGTGACGATAACACGATTCGTGGAAATATCCCGGTGTCGTTGATACCCGGCCGATTCTCGACGCTGCTCGTCGTTTCGGTTTCCCATCTGGATTATCGGATAAAACGTGGATCAGCGGAAGGACATTGGCCGGCGAGCAACCTTGGAAGGCGGTACCTGCTCGGGAAACTTGTTTTTTAAGTAGCTTGATAAGATTCCACCGCGAGGAACTTCCGACGATACAACGACACCGAGTATGGCCCGAGTATGGCTGAGTTACTCTATCTCAATTGACCGATTTAATAGATCGCAATAACAATTCGTTTTCAAGTTTGATACGAAAATTGGGTCAGTCGCGTGCAATTGACGCGTTAACACAGCGTGGTTTTCAATCGAAAACGGTTGAAATGTTTTTAATTTGTGCTTGCAACAGGAACAAGCATATCTCGAATAACCGAGTATCAGGAATGGCTATTGCAGACGTGACAGGATGTATTTTGGAAAATAAACGCTAATTACCACCGATCGATCTACCATTATAATCGAAACGCATCACTGCTCACACAGGGATTGTTAATGACCCAAACTGTAATAATGGATTCCCAAATATTAATTACATTATTTGGCGGAGTCTTCGTCGTAATTCATACACGATTACGCCAAAAAATGTTCATCAAATG